CCATCAAATATAGATAAACGTTTATTATTATTGGACGATCATTTATTTTAAATGAACTCCTATCCATATTATATGGACGTCTGTCCACAATTTAAACTAAAAAAAATTTAAAAACAAAAAATCATGGACGCCTTCCTAATGAATGGATGGATGTCCTTGTTAGATGAACATCCATCTATTATTTTAATTAAAAAGAAAATTTATTAGACGGGCGTCCTCTTAGATGGACACCCGTCCATTTCTTTATTTAATAGCACATGTTTCTTCACTTTATTTTCATGGCAGCTGGTTCTTCACTTTTTTTCCATGGAAGTATTCCCAAACCTGTAAAGAGTCATTCTTGAAGAAGACTCTTTCAACGGTTAAAGTTGCTCTGACATTTTCAACAAACAACACTCAAATTGAGGCCTGCTTTTTCAGCTTACACAACTTTGATTGGTGCTCTTTCTGCAGTTTATGAATCTGATCTCATGCTTGCAGACGTTTTGCAAAGAAAAATGCTATTATTTAGTATGGGCGTCCAAGTCAAAGTCAAAGTCAAAGAAGTTGAGGGAAGCTTCTTTGCGTATGGACGGATGTCCATTTTATGTGGACTCCCATCTATAGTAAATATACTCTTGTCCATATAAGATAGATAGGTGTTTATTATTTTTCATTTAAAAACTTTCGGACGGACGCCTATCTTTTGTAATAAATAGATACTCGTCCATATAATATGAACGATAGTCCATTAAGTATGAGTGGGTGTCCATAAATATTGGACAATCATTTAATTACGAAAGACTCCAGCATGATCGCATCTGACTGGTTACCATGTCTTTCGGTATAAAGATTCGGTATAAAATTTCCGTATATATAGCATTATTTATTTTTCTAAATAGGCTAAGCTGTAAAACAGTTAAAAAGAAAAAGGACACGTGTAACCCCTGCAAGCAGTGAGTACTGTTAAGAGTGTTTTCCTGCAACTTAGACCTGATCTTGTGTTTGTGTGTGGCAACTGCAAGTAATGTTATGTTCAACTTGCAAGTAGTTATCATCCTTGAGAAATTTCAGTTATATGATGGTTAAGCAGTCTCTATCAAATTATATATTATAATTTAAAAAGAAAATCTTGGTCTTAGTTTTAATTAATAAATAAATAAATAAATAAAAATAACTAGGCATAAACCCTGATTTATCCATCGTGTTCAAACCCAACCACTGAATCAAGCCTTGGCTACTATGAAGGTTGGTTTTCATATTGACTCGGCATATCTGGACACGCAACACAACAATTATATGAACACACACTCATATAAAAATGTTTCCCATCCCATCTGGGTTTTATTCAAGAAATTGTTTATAGCAAATATGGAGGGCAAATGCGAAACTCTTGATGTGGACATTTAAGCCACTCAATCAATCTCCTACTTCTAATTGAAATCAACCATATCGTCTCCTAATTCATCTTGATTGTGAATTTGAACTAATATAATTCCATGCATAACACGATTTATTATCATATTATATAATATTGAAAAGTTAATTAAAACTTTCTAATTTCTATACCAATAACTAGGGTTCGTTTGTTTTAATATTTTTCCCTATCCTATTCTTATTATTTTCAAAATACAAATTTATTTCCTTATTCTGAAAATACTATTATATTTTATTCAATTATTTTTAAATCCCCTAAGCTTGTTAATTTAATTAAACACCCCCTAAAAAAAGTTTAGAAATTGACAAAAACACCCTCACCACCCACATTTGCCAGATTCCGACCACTACCTCCAAAAGGTGGCCGGAATCTGGTATAATAACGCGCTACAGGTTGGATCTGGTCGATAGTGTGCCGATATATCCTTTTTTGGCCAGATCTACCGTAGATTTACAGCAAAAGATCTAGTCGTTGATGGCCAGATCTTTGGCTGTAGCTAATTGTCAACGACAGTCATATCTTTGGTCGTTGACGACCAAACGTGGCCAAATCTGACCATCAATGGTCAGATTTGGCCTTTTCTGGCCAAATCCATAGTGGATCTGGCTGGAAAAGGTCATTTCGACGCACGATCGACCATATCCAATCGGTTTTGCTCCGATACGGAGACTCTTGTCATCCTCCGGCTATGGTAGCCAGCTGTCGATATTTTATGGGTGGATGGAGGTGTTTTTGTAATTTTTAATGTTTTTATTACATAGGTGTTTAGTAAATTAACAAACCTGTGAGGTATTTTTGTTAATTTTCAAATCCTATCTCATTATTCTCACCCAACTTTTACTATTTCAAAAATACTATTCTAAATACTAAAATAAACACACCCTAAGATATCTCCAGTGCATTAGCCAATGGTGTAACCCTGATATGAAGATAACATGGAATAGGATAACTGAAAAAAGCCTGGAGACTGGTCATCAGGAGGTTTTTAAATAAATTGACCAATCACTTGTCATGGAAATCCTGCTAAAAACGTGGAATCATCAAGTCATAATCACCTCCATTATTATTTAAGGGAAATGTCAAGCTCAATTTGGAAAGCTGGAGACGTGTAGATCATTCCAGCCTCCTCAAAATCTCGCTACACTTAACCTACTTGTACGGAGCCAATTAATTTTAAGTTGAGTTTATATGACTGTTCCAACTTCCAACTACAATTTCTCCAGGAAAACCTGAAGCAAACTACAGATTTTTAAATATTCTGAAACAAATTGGTACAGATTTATAATATTTTCTTCGCCATTAGTAAAGGAATTAGTGATACAGAAACTCCATTGTATGCAAGCAAAAGAAAAGTTTGTTATATTTGACCATTAATTATCAATAGAAAGAGAATTTTTGTTTAGTTTCCAGATTTGGGATAGTTCAGCCTGCGTTTTAGCCCCTTTAATTGATTAGACTCTGGATTATAACTAAACAAATTAAAGTGCACATAATTTGAGGCAGATTTATTCTAAAAGTTAGCCCATTATCCTTCTAAAGTGCTTCTCAAGTCTCAACTAGTCATAGTTAGTTAGATCACTGTTTCCTTTTTCCTTCTTTTGACCATAAAATTAATTTATATATAAAAGCAAAGCAAAGGGCACAAACAAATAGCTAATAAAATATTAGATTACATACACGAAATTATTTGGAAGGTTAGATATGGGAATGGGATGGCCCAAACTCAAAGTAAAGTTGAAATTTCTAGAGCTATGAAATAAATAAATAGCTCTTTTTCAGTGTAGTTTCCAAGAAGGATCTCTGGAGCAATGAAATCTGAAACTGAAAGGCGAAACTTCACATTATTATTTTATGGAAATGGGACTGACAACACTGATTATAGAAAGTTACAAGAAATGGAAATGGAAACTGGAGGTCTAGGACCACGACGACAGATCACTTGTTAACCACTCAACTCAAGATTGAATAAGTGACAGAGATATAATTAAGATGGCCCTCAGTCTTTATATTTCCAGGTCTTAATTATCGATATGCAACTTTCATCATTAATGACACATATCCAACTATTAACTATTGCATTAATGGTTTAGCTGGTTTGCTCATAACAAGTAAACTGCTGACACAAATACAGCACTCTTTATCAAACACAGAAATGTGAAATCAGAACCAGCGGCTTATCATTTAGAGCTGAGAGACAGAGATATAATTGAGGTGGCCCCTCTGCCAGAGGTTCATTATTATTTATTGCTCAAATCAAACCATTCTTGCATTAAGCAGAAGTTTGGTATTGGTTAAACATATTTAATGAATAAACCCAGTAGGAAATCTGGGTGATTTTGGTCGATGATAAGATTGATAAAAGAAAAAAAATTCAAGCCTACAGTGCAACGACATATAAAACAAGTTTCCAGGGTAAAGACAAACCCAGTTGACAGTAGATTAACTTCTAAAATTTGCAGGTTGTAATTATTTAAATGATTAGAGAGAAATAAAAAAGGAAACTAAAATTGCCTGCGTAGTTGACCCACTGGGTAGAAAATCTGGCGTATTACGGACCTACTGCCACTGCCATGTGCCCCATGTGTTTGTCTGATTGTGATAATAATACATTATTAAAATTCCCCAATCGTCTTATACTCCTTTAAACTTTCAACTAATGATGATTATATCAGCTAATGACATGTAGATCGATCTGTTTGTGCGTTACATCAATTGTATTCTTCTCTAATAACAGAATCCACATGCTTCAGTTTCTATGGCTGCTTCATATTTGTTTAATTTGACACTTAATTATTGCTTTGATTTGTCTCCCTAATCGCATTAGTAAGATTTCTATTGGTCATTTTGCCTTTATATTATTGAAGCCTTACTATCTGTGTGTGTTTGGTGAACTCAGCAACAGAACAGAACTCACCGCTTAAGAAATCAATAAATTTATACAAGTAGGGACAGATGAAACCGAAGCAAAAGACCAGATAGGTTTGATGCATTAGTTTTTTTCAACTTGAAGATGACACATCAACCAGCCTAATATTCTTTGATTTTTGTAAGTTGAAAGCCATTCAAAAGCAAAGCACAGAAAGAAAAGAGAATTATTCATGTATGTTAAATTGATCAGATACAGGAGGCAGAGCCCTTCCATTTCCATTTGAATTTTTTGGTGGTTTGAGAGTGACCTCACATAATGGCTTACCATTTCTTCAAACCGGTGAAGAAAATATCAGAAATGATGCAAAATTTACTGTCAAATACGCTAAAAACGTAACATCATTCATCATCTATAGATGGGTACACTTTAAACATACACAGGTACATATTACCTTGAAAGCACAATAGTCCAAAGTCGAAACCGAAGTAAGTAAGAAATGAGAGTAAGGATATGGTCCTCAAAGCATCAATTATTTAATTTTTTCCACATGGTAACAAATTAGATGAACCGTAGTCCTCTCCTTTGTGTTATGGACCCCCCCCCCTCCACAGGTTTCTTTACCTTCTTTTTCTTTTTCTTTATATATTATTTGATTTTTTTTTTTTTTTTTCAAAAAAATAAAAATTTCTAAGAGAATCATAAAAGCTCAAACACTTCTCTTTTTTGTGCCAAGCACCCACCTTCTTCTTTAGCTAGAAATTAGCTCAACCTCTATGATGGGAAAATATATCAACATAAACAATATTGATGCTCATAATCATCAACAGAATTTCTTTAAATCATCTTCCACCACAACCACAACTTCATCCTCCACTTCTTCCTCATCCACCATTACTTCTTCACTTTCAGACCACAATTCAAAAACTAGTTCATCAACTTGTGTAGCTAAAAAAGCTTCGAGAAAAGCAGAAGATGATGAAACCAGCCATGAAGCTACCAAGAAACTTAAGAGTGATGACAACGGGAGACACCTCACTTACAGAGGAGTACGTATGCGTAGTTGGGGCAAATGGGTTTCTGAAATTCGGGAACCAAGAAAGAAATCCAGAATATGGCTTGGAACTTACCCTACTGCAGAAATGGCTGCTCGAGCACATGATGTTGCCGCTCTAGCTATCAAAGGCCGCTCAGCTTTTCTGAATTTCCCCGAATTTATTCATCAACTTCCTCGTCCACTCACCACCTGTCCCAAAGATATCCAAGCTGCCGCAGCCAAAGCAGCCGCCCTCACATTTCAAGACTCAAGCTCTTCATGTACTCAAATTGAAGCTCAAGGTGAAGCCCAGCCGAGCCAACCTCAGCTTCCTCCTGTTTCTCCTTCTACTGATGACGAAGACACGTTGTTTGACCTGCCTGATCTCTTCATCAATGGCTCTGATCGTAGCGATGGATTTTGCAATTACTTATCATCATCAACATGGCAACTTTGTGCAGCCGATACAGGGTTCCGCCTTGAGGAACCATTCTTGTGGGAGTATCAGTAGAGAATGAGAGAAACCGTTTAATATTTTCAAACCAACACAAAAATCTCGTTCCGACTTTCCACAGTTGGTCACAACACTGTCTTTCAATCTGTAGCTAACACCTGAAAAAAGATTAAACCCAGTTGGAATCACATTTGGTTTGTTAATTTCTACCTTTGCTTCATTGATTTTTACTCCAATGTATTATTACAAATATATGATCATCAGGCAGTATATATACATAATAAATCATCTTGTATAATCTTCCTTAAATTTCTTTGAATTTCTTTTACAGCTTTTTCATGGGGTTTTGAGCTGTTGACTTAAACTTAACCAGCTTGCTAAATTAGTAAATTACTAGAAATCTTAGCTTAGATGCCGCATTTTGATGAAACAGACTTTATCATGAAATATTTGACCTTCAAATATAAAGCTAGATCTTTGGCCCTTTGGGTGGTGATAATGGGATCTCAAGCTCTTTCACTTTATTGCCTGTCTGTACCATAAATAAAAAAAAAGTAGAAGAAAATACTGTAACTTCTAGTGTATTGTATGAGCAAATAAAGAAAGATGGCGGTGGTGGAATACTTTATGATTGATGAAGAGAAATTTAATTTGGATTCCCATCCAGTCTGGACACACATGTAAGTACTGAAAGAAGGTGACAATATAATCTGACCTAAGTTATATAAATTTTTCTAACACTTAAGTAAATGTATATGCCATTTAGCAAAGCAAAAGGGCCCTCCTCTTCTTCTTCATTATACACTTATTCAAAGCCACTATGTATTAGTGATATGTGACCTCACCATCGTTATCTAACTTTATCTTCTTCTTTTCCTCCATCGTTTTAGCACCACTCTTCAATTACTAATTGGCTACACCATTTTAGAAAGAGACAAATCTCTTTGTCCGTATACATTTCCTATACCTAACCCATCTCCGTCCGCAAACTCTTTGATTATTGTATCTGGCTCTGGGTTTACAGCAACAATAATGCAACTTATAAAAGTTCGTGACAAAACAAGAGACAAAGAACGAGTAGTTGATTTTGGAATCTCGTAAAAATTATATAATTAAGAATTCCAGATTTTCTTCACCTTTACTTTTTTATTTTTTAAAACGACAGAAAATGAGAGCTATACCTCTTGAAAACGATACTTTATTTATTAATATCAAAGTTAAATTTAGTCATAGCAGAAACATCTAGGAGTGTCTGCATCTTCTTTCTTCTTTTCTCCATGTGGATCACATGTTATCAGGTTTGTAAGCCAATATCCAGACCATTGTAAAGTTTTTACAGCTCATTTATTTCTTTGGAATAAAGTAAATCAATGGCAAAAGTTACACTAGTAAAGATATAGAAGAGCATAGAATTGATGTTCACTGTCTGGTAGCAGCTGGCTGAACCAAAAGAATCTGGATTGGTACTTCAATAATGGAGTAATTCAGATTCATTTCTTTCTATAACTTGTTGAATCCAGGTTTAGTAATGATAATACTGCATGTGATGATACTATATATAGTTGGGCTAACTTATAATTGGCTATATTTAAATTTCTGAATGATTGATGGGTTCATCATCTTTGACGATTTCTTGAATACCCCTCTTAAGAGAGATCATCCAACCTCTTTATTGACAAGCAAATCTCTGTGATTCTTTTCTAAGTGGGGTGATTAATTAATGAGAAATGAAACATGTAACATGAGGGGATCACAGTTTCAGCAATCTCCAGAGCCTGAATTAGACATGAAGAAGCTAATGATAAGAGGTGGGTCTGATAGGGTAATCAGTGATTAGTTAATTAACTTGTGTGTTTAAAAATTAATTATTTATTATAGAGAAAACAACTTTTTTCCACCTAAATAATGGCTTCATGACGTTTCCACCCACAAACTTTGGAAATTACCACTTGCCCACCTACCCCGCTAATCACCAGCAAATTCAGGTACCGTTGAGACCCCAAATCATCACTATTCTCTTTCTCAATCATCACTCATCAAAACCCCTCAAACCTCACTCCTATCGACTCTATCAATCGCCAACAATCGAGTGATTAGGGTTTCGCAATTACCCATTCTAAGTCAAATTTTGACCAATCACGATCACCAAAATCTAACATTCCATTACCAAAAGATTCATCGGTCTCCTCTTTTCAAAAGCTTCAACATAATGGATTGAGTTTGCTAATTGTTTGTCACCGAATCAGAAAATATATTTTTTTGATAGAAAAATAATATTTTAAAAGTTTACAAATAAGAACGTGTCATTAAGTCATTATTTGGGTGAGAAAAAATCGAAAAGTCGACATCTCTTTATTATATATTTTTTAGTTAGAAAATATATTTTTTGGGTAAAAAAATAGTATTTTAAAAGTATGAGAATTAGTCATTAAGCCATTATTTGGATTAGAAAAAGACAGAAAAGTTTATATCTCTTTATTATATAGCTGTAAGGTTTGGTCCGAACCTCGAGAAATGCATCAATTGCTTTTGCTCAAATCATAAGATACTTCTTGTAATGTATTTCATGCTTTTGCCTTTTTCCTTTCTTCTATTTTAGAAACATCTCATCTTCATATTATAATAACCCAATAAATAATATTAATAATTTAAGTGCAGTAATTATTAACATATAGATATTTAATTAAATAAATCTTATATCTTAGACTGAATATGATGATAACGACGACAATAAAAGTAATGGTAATATAAACAAGTTAAGTTGCGAAGATACTTATAAGGATAAAGACACTGAGGCCAACCAATATGATGCATGCTCCATGTGCTCAACTTTGAAACACAGACTGGACTTAAAATGTATGTATGTATGTATGTATGTATGTATGCATTATGTAACATTTCATACCCGAATTAATCTAAATTCAATGAGCAAACAACACATATACCATTTGTTTTTTTTTTCCTTTTTTTGTCTGATGGAAATATGACAATAAATGACAACCCTGCTTCTTTTACAACCACATAATCTAGGAATCCTATGTCCCTCAACCCAACCCAACCCAACCCATCAAAGTTTGAATAACCAAACAATTAAGCACGTGTATATTTATTCACACCTCATATTACAATTAAGTTATCGATTTATGAAGATGCTAACATTTCACAAATTCAATGCTCCAATTAATTTAAGCCAGTTTGGCTCGGAATCGCTTGGCTGCTTCCCCGGAAGAGACATATATTTGTAATTTTGTATATGGGTTGAATTCCTGAAGGACCACATTAAAAATAAAATCGATATTTTGAGTTTTGGCTTGGCATGCACTTGGCCGACTGAAATTTAAGCAGTCTGGCAAATTGACTCTGCCCTGGCCTTGCAAGTTTGTACATTTTATATAGACATATTTCATCCCAACTTAAATGTAAAATGGTTTATGGGCCATTAATCTTTTACTTTAATTTACTTTGTCCTATCGTACTTCTAGTGTTCCACAACACTTTTCAGTAGCATGAGGAACGTGAAGAAGGAACAGTTCTCACTTTTCATTGACTCTTATAATTTGTTTGTACTGTAACTCCAATAATTTGAGGGACAAAAGCAGAAAGTTGGCCCAATAATGTTTACTTTACCTTGTAACATTTAGGAGATGACAGGTGTTTCAGGGATCAATCTGACAATATTAAAATGTTAAGACCCCATTTTATGATCCATCAAAAATCCAAAACCCTAACTTAATTTATAACCATGTGGAGGCTATGATATATGCGAGATTAAGACCCATAACGCATCCGCTCGGTTCGGCAGAAGCTTCTTTTGAAAAACCTTAACAAATACAGTCAGATGATATGATTCGGTTGGAGAGAAGGAGATACCGAAGAGGAATAATCAAATCACTTGCAAAAGTAATATGATTAAATAGAAGTAAGTATAATTTGAATATGTTTGCGGGCCATCAAAGTATGATGCTGGAACAAATGCGGTGTTTTACCAGCTCCCTCACTGCGATTGTACATGGTTCCATAAATAAAGACATTTTCTAACACAAGCCAATAAAAAGAGAGAAAAACCCAAAAATACCCCTTAAATAGAAAAGCGACAATTAAACTATTAAAGGACTCGTTTCAACATTATATTATCATTATTCACTTCCGAAAACTATTACATCTTCCAACAAATTCGAATTCCATCTGGACACAAACAACTACTATATACATTACTACCCTTATCAAACAACAAATAAACAGAAAATGACTAAAACATCTAACCATTCCAAAAATTCCATTAATGCTCCAGATGTTATCATTCAAAAGACAAACCCATTGATTTAAGTATCAGAGAACAACTGCCTACGCACCGTGCCCGGTTGCCTCTTTTTTTTTTTTTTTTTTTTTTTGGTTTTTTGAGGCCTAGCATCATAATTTTTAATCATAATAATGTCATGCAACCTCCATGACCTTTGAAAATAGCATTGGATCATTCTGAAATCTGCAGACAATAAATTGAAAGATTCCAGAGGCTCTGAAATGAAGAGGGTGAAAAAAATAAATACAGTGAACTCAAATAATCAACATTAACAACCTAGAAAACCAACCAGCAAATCCACGGTGATTTGACCAGCTAGTAAGTGGACAGGAGAAGCCACTCTGGTCCCCGTTGATATCTGTTTTACCTCCACAATTCTCAAATACAGTAATAAATGTAATCCTCTGGGCATCCTTATGTCAAGTTAAAGGAACCAGGTCACAAGTGCTTCAAGATGGACAGTACGTTATTGAGCAGCAGCAGATCAGATGTAAACAGGTTTAACATCGTTAGGACCGAAACTTGCAGCACACATTGGACACTTGCGGTGACGACTTTCGGTAACTCTCTGTACACAAGGGTTGCAGAACAAGTGGTAGCACTTTGTAATGACAACCTGAAGGTAGAAAATATCTTAGTACTGTGACAAGAAGGATAGAAAACAATTGCTCCAAGGAAAAAAGTAATTAAAATAGCTATCTACATGGTATGTCCAAACTGAAGTATTTGCTTGGTATTTGCTTATTTCTTTTCTTCTTCTTTAGTTATTCCAGATGAAATTCGGAATAACTGATTGTCACATTTAGTATCTAAATAACATGCCCGCCTACTCCACACAGCATCTCATTTGACAATACAAAAGTCAACCATGGGAGCACCTGATGCCTGAAGGCATACATGTGGCACCACTAACATGGAGTCACCACATTGGCGTTGCATAGCTCAACTACAGGTTCGACAAGCTGCAACATATTGCTAACCATCAAGAATAATAGTGAACACACGACATTGTTCACTTACGCAAAGGAACTTGGTACATATGACAAACCTAACAAACTTTTGTTCACAAGCAAAACTTCATATTCAATCATCAAACTAACTCCACTCCATTCAATCATACATATAAGCACAGCACATGTACCTCTTTTGGCCTTTCAAGGCAAACACTGCACTTGAGTATTTCTCTGTATTCTTTAAGTTCCTCTCGTAGCTCTTTTACAATTGAGGACCCCTCTGTCGGGGCTTGAAGGCGTAAAACCTTTCTCCTGGCAACTTCCAATTCCTCCTCTATTCTTTTCTTGGAATATCTGATATACAAGAAACATTAATCCATTTCATCCAGTTCACATAAAATTGAGGGAAAGTAAGACTAAATACATTACCTTTCTCTTTCTAACTCTATCTGCTGCTTCATAAGAGCCAATCGATTATCATCAACCTTCAATTGAGATTCTTCCAATGACTCCCTCACTTGTACAGATGATCTTCTAACATCTAACAATTTCTTTTGGGTATTTTCCAAAGTAACCGAATTTTGAAATCTGTCTTCCGTAAGTTTCTGAACCTGATCTACACAAAATTTCAACTGCAAGGACCCACAACATTAAGTTTTAAATTCTCCAACAGTCAGCATTCTATTTCTAAAAGAGATAAAGGCACACCTGGTCTTCAATTCTTGCAGCTTTCATATCATAGAAATTAAAAGATGCATTCGCTCGCTGAATCTCCCTTTCCATGGTACGCTTTTCCATAAGTAAAGCATCCTGCATTTGTCTTGCTCTCACACCCTCTAAAACAAGCTGAAAAGGAAGAGTCTACAAAATCAATTTCTAAGGAGAAATTATAGAACTGCCTAAAAACTTTGACAGTTTAATCAATGCACACATATACATACACTTAAGTGCACTCAGATGATAACATATTATTGCTCATACCCAGTCTTGGACAGAAACCCTCTTTGTTTTATTTGTCAAAACATTTTTTGATGAAAATTATTTCACCTTTCACAGGAACTGTTATTAATTTAGAAGAAAATATGATAAACATGGAATGTAGGCAGATATCTTTTTAAAAACTTAATATTATTGTACATTTTTATTCATTAAATGCATACATCCTTCATTAGAATATACTCTTCTCTATTATACAGTAGTGTAAATTATCCAAAGTGTTGGGGAAGCAACAGAAGAAAAAAACATAAAGCTGCAAGAGCATTTATTTACATCATACAAAATATAACCATTTTTTTGGTAATTAGTAAGTAAAACTATAAGAACAGGGGGTGCCTGTATCTAGTAAGGGAATAAGAAGAAGACAGCATAAGAAAATAATAATTAATGTCCACAAATACAGTAGTAAAGATTAAAAAAGAACCAAAAGGAAAAAAAAAAATTCTCAAAATCCTATATTTCAACACAATAATTGACTGATCTATTGCTTCCAAGCCATACAGTTTCCTAGCCCACATACTCTGGAGAGAGAGAATGGGTATTATCTCCAAAAAAGGCGTCCATTCTTACCAGTGAAACAGCTCAAATTTGCCAATAAAATCCCTCCATCTTAATGTATTATACTCCTCCACAGGTACAATATAGATCAGAAAAATATAATATGATTGTGTTAACTGAATCAGGTTTACACAATACTGTTGTTACAATTTAAAGCCAAACATTACGGGGAAAAATAAATTATACAAAAAGGGTTGAGCCAGATTAATTACCTTAATGTTATAGTCATCTCTTTCCGTAATCTGCTGCAACAGTTGTTGGTTTTGTGTTTGCATGTCATCATATACCTGTCCAATTGTCTGAGAAAAAACCAAAATAACACCCTTAAAACAAACTCTGCAATAGAACAAACGAATGAAGCTACAAGAGATAACAGGAAGGCAACCTCTATTTCCGACAAGTAGGCTTCAATCTCTTCATTTTTGGATTTCAAGGCATCAGAAAGCCTAACCATTTCCCTGAAAAATTAACAGCTACGTATCAATATCTAAAAAATAATCAAATAATTTGAAAGAATAAGAGTACACTTCTCCTGAACTACATCCATGGTTAACCTTTTAAAAGCCTCCAACTTCTGTCTCATGTCAGCAATCTCAGCCTCTGCAGCGGCTAGCCTTTGCTGGGATATGGCCTCAGCTTCATTGGCTGTCTTCACTCGTAATTCCAAGTTTTGCTCATCAAGAGAGGATTTCAAACTTTGAACATGAGACCATGCTTTGTATTCCAAATCCCTAGCTTCCATGACATCCCTGCAGTTGTAAATTAAATCCATAAGAGCGACAAAATTATTTTGAGTGCACATCAACCATCTGTATTGACCATTGTGTAAACCTCATGACAAGATAATGAGCTAAATTGGGGAAAACCATAGTAATAAATGCACCATTCAGTCCTACAACCCAATTGGAGCAAGGAACGAAAGCACAAGCCAGAAATACATAGCAGGTGCAACAAAAGAAAAAGGAAAACACTTGCAATAATTAATTTAGTGAACTGTGAAAAAGCAACTGAATTTAACTTAACATCTAGCACATAAAACAAATACAAGCATTTTCTCTAATACAAGCAAGAAAAGAGAACATTCGATTTATCAAATACAATAATCTAAAATTTAGCTGCATTTTGTTCTCAAAACAAAAAGAATAATTTTTTTTTAAGGTTCTCTAACCTCGAATCTGTGGATTCACGTCTATACATATCCAAAACCAATTTCAATTCCAGATTACTGTCTGTCAAATCTTGAACCTGCACTCCAAAAAAAAAAAAAAAAAAAAAAATTTCACAAATTACTTAACAGTGAAATTAACGCTTGCAATATTGTTACTCCACTTAAGTAGCAATAGACATGCTAACCAACACATGTTATGCTGAACACAAAATCAAAAATATGCTATGCATCCATATCTGTCAAGAAGCATCCTAAACCTTCTCTAGCTATCCATTAAACAAACATATAACAACCTTCAAAATTTTGGTGACGGTTGCTAACCTCTGCTCTCTCATTTTACAACTCTCCAAATGAATAATGCCAAAGAATAGGGAAGGGGAAAATCATTTTACTTCATAAGAACCATAACTTGATTAAACTAGATATGAAAAAGATAGACGATTCGGGACCAGCAATCAACTAAATTAAGTATAGGGAAATTAACAAAATGTAATAAATTCCTGAAGCTTCCATAAATGAATATTGAAACCAAAATCATAATTTTTGTTTTTAATGTGACGGCAGGGATACATGGCATTCACACAAATTTAAGATCTAGCTGGCTAACTTGGTATTAAAAAATATTTTTTCATCCCATTTTGTTTGATCTCCTTTCTAATTTTGGTCAATCCCATTAGGATGTCTTATTTATAAGTTGAAGCCAAACAAACAAAATTAAGTGCCACAAGTTACTTGCATGTCTCCTAAATAGGTTTATTTGTCCCTAAGAAAACACACAGTGATGGAGTAATAAATATCACTAGTACGTGACAGATGTAGATATTCATTTGAACAAATAAACAACATAATGAAGATACTCTATTTAAGCATTTGACCAGCTATTTTCCACTTTCTTTCATTATCCAATACGTAATGTTCTATAGCGTTTCATTCAACCCATAATGGCTGTTACACAATTATTTTCTCCTTTCTGCTATGCTTTAATCAGTTATTTGAATGATGACAATCACATAACTGAGAAATTCGATATCATATCTATACAGCAGATGCATGAATATATTGAAAAGGCATACTTATGAAAGCTTCTCAGAGCTAAATATCATAAACTTCTGGACACGTTTTTCCACAACTGCATTTCAAATATATATGCCCTGAATATAATCAGATGTTTAAAAAAAACAGAAAAAAAAGAAAAAGGAGAAACAGAAATATGTATACCATAGCTTGCAACTTATGTACTTCAGCAACTTGGCTGGCTGATCTCGCATATAAACTTTCACACTCTTTTACCTGTTCCAAAAAATATATTATAATAATGCTTTTAAGTCTATCAATTGAATCTTAGAATAAAGTACATACAGGTTCACCAACCTTCCGATTAAGTACATTAGAAAGGGACTGCACATCTGCCCGTAGTGTGTGAATATCCAGAGCAGTCTCTTTGTACTTACTTAATTGACTTTGCATAGAGCTCATTTCCTCAGGAAATGAAGAAACCAGGGCTTTAAATTCTGCAATAATCTCTTTTCTTCCTAAAATGCAGAGTATTTCAATTAGTTATTAAACATAAAAGAAGATATAAGAAAACAAAGATTACATAATCAAAGGAAAGCATCACATGTTTTCTTACCAGGTTCTCTTGATGCTTCTCCCAGTCTTGTCTCAGTCCTGAGTTTTTCATCAATTTGATTTTGTATCTCCATCCTTAGATCAGCAATTCTTGAATCTGAAACAGCCGAAGATCTTCGAAAAACATCAACCAAATCATTTTTCATATTCAATTCCATCTCCCTCCATGCAAGATTATCCTTCTCAACCTACAATTTCCATTGAAAAAGGTACAGTCAGCATCAGAACAAAGTCCTATGAGAAAAGGATAGAAAAAGGCATAAATGAAAGTACCGACCAGTTACAACCTGTAGTTTCTCAAATAATGCCTGGTACTTGATAACTTCAGATTTTGAATTCTCTAGTTGATCTCTAACCAATATGAAAGCTTGGGAAGAAGTAAGACACTTCACACTCTTCAATTTGCTCTGTCAATAAAATATTCTTGTTCAATGCATATTACCAAAAAGGAGAGCTGCATCTCAAAAGTTCTTCATAAGAAAACCAGTAATTACATTCAGAGCTAAAAAACAAACCTGCAACTTAAATAACTGCTCTAGTATTTTTATTCTCTCATCATGAAGACCTTTCAGTTCTAACAGTCTATGTGAAGCTTGGTCCTGCAGTGGCCAAGTTAATTACTTTGAGAGGTTTTCTCAAGCATAAACCAAAGAGAAAAAGTACTCATAAATTACCCTTAGCTCTTTGAGAGAAGATTCCATATGTCGCACATCTCTTTCTTCATCTCTGACCTTATCACCAGGAAGCTTATTACCTAGGTTTAAAACAGGGAAAAATGCCCCTTTCGTTGCATCTCTTTCGGCTTTAAGAGTTGCCAATTTACAATTACTTTCCTCTAATTCTGTAACCGCACTCTCCAATTCGCCTTTACAAAAAACCAATCATATCATTCACAAACCTTTCATGTCATGAAAATTGATGAACATTCAAAACATAGTCAGTCAGGTTCAAGGGAACAAAGACAGAAACCAAAACTTAAAATGGCTTTAACTTGATCAGTTCAACATCTATTTCCCAAGCTTAAGAAAAAATTGAAAAAAATACATACCAATAAATATATGGAAAACATAGTTCTCAAAACCATCAAAGAAAGAAAAATGGCTATACAGACACATTAAAAATTCAGGAAACATGTTGTGATCTATATCATAGAACCTTATAATCCAAGCATAGAAATTAATTAATATGAGCAACAAAAGATAGTTATTCATGTATATTTAATGTGCAATAACATACATAAACAGGAATGATGTGTTTCCATATATAACAGTGTCGGGTCTAAGTTCGTATGTTGGTGACCAACTAGATGAAACACACGTAAAAAATTACCTCTTAAACGTTTAAGCTCAGCTTTATTTTTTGCATCAATGTCTTGACGGTTCTGCAATTTCCTAGCCAACGATTTGTGCTTCAAGTGAAGATCACTTAATTCTAATCTCAGATTTTTAACTTCAGACTGTAAGTCAACAGATGATTTCTGTCTGCATGAACCTAAGCAAAAGAGCAATGTACATGGGAACTGAGGGATAAATCTTGCAAGAAAAGTTTACAATTGATATTACACAATATGAATTTTGCAACAATACAAACCATCCCCCGGAGCCTCTTTCAAAACAGCAGCATATAGTCCATCCTTCAGATGACAAAGGCTGTTAACTGCAACTAACATATTACATAAGATGTTCCTAGTCTTTTCAGAGGCAGTTTCTCGATCTTCTTCCATCTGACTAGGGCAGTTATCAGAAGAGGAACTTTCAGTTGCACCGGTTTCCGTAAGTCGACTAAGAAAAGCATCTTCTGCAGGATAACGTGTCTCATCTGACAATAGAAAATTAGCAGTTCATCAGAAAATGATAAGGAAAGAAATAATAATAATGATAAAAATAAAAATGACATCTATGTTTCATAAACTCACCGTCTGTAATTGATAAACATCTAAAATCTTGTCCACTTCTTGACTCTCTTGCTTGGATGGAACGTGATTCCAGATCAGTGACCAGCTATTGTAAAAGCAAAATTCAATTTCCCATTAAGCAAAACACAACACTGTAACAATAAAGGTAAAAGATATCGCATAGAATTATCATAATTCTTCTCTTCTCTTTTCCTCCTTTTCTACATATCAACTTAATATAATTTTTTGACAAATATAAATGACATAAATCATTGAAAGTAGAAAAAAGAAATGACAACGACCGGCATTACCTCTTCCCAAGACCTATTCACCACCTCTAATGTGGAATCATAAGGCTGTTGTCTCTCCTTCAGTTGAGTGAACTTATTATCAAGAGCAGAATACTCAACCTTCTGCTCCTCTAACTTCTGTACAAGCTTTTGATTTTGGAAGTGAAGAACTGCAGTATCAATCTGCATTATGTAAAGGAAAACAGGTTCAAAAAAACATGTTCTATAATATAGCCAAAATACTCAGTCAAGAAATGCTTCTCTTATGTTGATCGAGAGCAAAGAACACTAAATGAATTCTAACAACAAGTGGCAAGCACAGTAGGAAGTTACATTTCAAACCAAGAATCAAACAGTCAAGAGATTCAACCAATTATACTACAGAATAAAAGCAAAACATGAAAAAAGGTACACAGCAATTACAAACTGTTTGGGTACTCATTCAACATTGCTGGACCAGATATCTCTGCATATCATCACGTTAAAATATAAAAAAGAATACAAGATGCACCATGGTCTGGAGTAGCTAAACAGAACATACCAGTTGATGAAAACAGGGGTTTAACAAATCAAAATTCAATCCTTACATTAAATGTAAATAAACAATGCTACAGTCAAACTGAAAACAAGCATTCAATTCACAGCCCAGAGAAAATTTGATACCACAGGAGTCTTTCCAACATGAAAAATGTATTGTACAACCGCTAACATTCAACTGCCAACAAATAGGTATTTTAACGGATCAATAATGCAAATAATCAACATATGAACTTATTTCTTGTTCTAATAACCCCAGATCCGCAAACTAATAAAATCTTTCAAGAAAGGCTTAAAAACCAAAATTTTAAGACAAAAGAACAAAATTACACCGACTACAAAGCAAACCACACAAAATTAAAGGTTAAAAAAACTGAAAAATCCTACCTTTTTGTCCTCAGAAGAGGAAAAGAATGGGTGCTTCTTCGTGGTAGCGGCCGTTGGTGATATGGAGGTAAAGTGACGCCGCTTTCGGTCTGGCTCACCCGTGCTCCCCATAGAAACTACACACAACCAGACCAAACCCTAGGACCACCCTTATAATAGCCTCACTTTCATTAGAACCCACTAAGAGTCCGTACAAAAAATGAATACTGAATCAAATGCACACTGAAATAAAAACCCTAAGTATTTTACACCAAACCCTGAAACAATCAATTTATCAAAACCCTAATTCAAAAGCTCAACAAAGAAGTTTATTGTGGACTCAAAAACCCTAATTCAACAGGTTTTTAGGCACTATCTCTTTGTAGTTTCAATCTCTAAGCAAGGCATGTAGTCATCTGATCTCTCTCCATCTCTCTGTCTCTGTCTCTGCAAATACTCGAAGAAAGAAAAGCAAACGGACCTCGTAAATGGAAATAAAATGTAGTGAGAAGGAGCTTGGAATTTTGTGAAATGTTAAGGTTATTTTGGGGATTAAAATGTTACACTTGTTGGAAGAATCCAGGTTAGTGATTGTGTCACGGGCAGGGTATGAATTTGAGTGACGGGTGGAATTTCATTGGAAAAAGAAGTGAAAGGACTATGGAGTCCTAGGTTTGACTTTTGTTTTCTTTCCAGACTTGAAATTTTATTGGCTTTTCTTTTGTTATTTTAAGTTTTGGCCCACATGGAATTCTAAACTACTTGATAGGTCGTTTCTCCCTTGTTTGATATAAACCGGCAGAATGAGTAGTCGGTTTGAGCAGTCCACGTGCAGTACACGAGCTCCTATTTACTTATGTGTTTTAAATTAGTAGAATATTTATTAAACTCATTTAAAAGAATTTATATGGTATTGGAACATACATGTCATATAATTTTTCCTAAGGAATTTTGACGAAGTACTGACAATATTGGAACATACATTGTCATATAATTTTTCCTTAAAGAATTTTGACATACTCTTGATTACTATTAAAAGTGATCATTGGAGGATTTAGTCGATCATTGATTTCAAGATTTCAAAAAATTAATCAAAAAATACGTAAACTTGTCAAACAACCCCCATTAAAAAAAAAAAAAAAGTACTGATCGCAGTCGATGAAGTCCCATTCTGAATCTCACAAATTGTTCAGAAAGCTACTACAGATGAAGAACAGAGAGAACCGGCGTCCAGTTTATTAACAAAAATTTCATCTGTCTATATCTCTTGACTTTTTATTATTATTATTGCTGGTTTCAAAGTAAATTTCTTTTTGATCTTTACATTCTAAGCTTGAGCGTCTGCAGTCCATTTATATACACACAAAAAAGTGTCCAATTCAATAAAAAATGACGCCATGTTGATAAGGAAAGAAAATATGGAATAATAAAATAGAAAAGGGTATAACTATAACAGTTCACCACGGCATGATAACATGAGATGTGGAATGGAATAATACATGTCATTCATCTTTCATTGCAAGTTCATGCCTCTTTTTCTGCCCAACTTCCACAAGCAAAGTCAAAAGTGCCTCACAAACTTGGGAAGCATCTGCCTCAGAAGGATCATCATTCAATGAAGAATAAACCATCCAAGCATGGTCTAGTTTACGTTTAGGCCGCACTACAATGGATCCAGGTACTTCCGCATCACGACAGGTGACAAGCCCATCACTCTTCTCACCATACCTCACCTGTAAAAGCTGGGCACATGCTGCCATTGCCGCACCAAGGGGCATTACCACTGCAACTTTTGCAGGTTCGCCTGCTGATAGGGAGGGCAGCTCTGCATGAGCAACATGAGATAATGTGGCAAGAACTGCAGGAGTAATGCCAGCTTCCGTATGAAATGAGACGACAGGAAGTTCTCTTGGTAGTTGGTGTTTCCTCAAAAATTCCTTCCTCCTCTCGTAAGTCAAGTCTTCTAAAGATTGCAAGTCGCCCTTCACAATTACAGATAATAAGAAAATATGACAGACACAACTGAAAAACTAAACTCCAAGCGTTCCATTAACATCACATTCCAGAGGACGAAATAAATTCATTCTGCTACAGCAGGTGATTCATTTCCAAAATGTACCCCCAAAAAAGGAGGAAAAGAAAATAATTGTGACACTAAAAAGATATATATAGTAAGAGACAATCATCTTCATGCAAAATATTAATAAAAAAAAATGTAATCACAAAAATCAAAAATTAAAATGAACAAACAACTTATGTACCTTGATCACTTTACAGATCAGAATCTCCATAAGTTTCCGTAAATGGACATAATCACCAAGTTGTCCTTCTCGTAAAATATCTGAAGCTATAGGGCTCCCACCATATGGGCTCTGCGCTAATGCCAACCCAGCAACCTTATCTTTCAAGTCAGGCCAATACAATGATAATGCAGCAGCTGCATCTACCCCCCCTTTGCTATGTCCAAGAAGCAAAACACGTTTCTTTGAACCCCAATAGATTTCCTCAATGTATTCTTTTATCTCTCTAGCATTTTTCTCAACTGAAGCCTGATTACATATCATTTTATTTTCAGTATAAAATATTAATATACAGCAATAGAATTCAATACAAAATAAACCAAAATTACCTCGCTGTGAATCTTGGCAATGTGACAGGCCAGACCCATCTTTGAGAAACTCATTTTTGTATTAACAAAATAAAGTGGACCATGATTGCTAAACAGACCTGTCAAATATAAAAAGAACCCAGTACATAGGTGAACGAAGTTGTGTGCAATTCTATGCTTAAAAAATACCACAATAAAATCGGGGGCATGATCACCAAAGTCTCTCCTTTATCATACGAATCCAATGGGGTCAAAATTCGCAGCTCAAAAAGGCCAACTTGTGCAGATCATGAATTTGGTGATTGCCACATTCTTTAAAAGATATTTTTGCAACTTTTATTTTATGAATATGCTAATTCAAAAAGGTAAATTGCAATGGCTACCTGGAACTAACAAGTAGACCATTGAGTTTGGCAGTTTGTGCAGACCATGCCTGACATAGAGGAAACCAATTAAATCAACAATTTGCATATCCATGTCAAGAACAGAAAGGCATGTGAAAGATGCAAAGAAGCTACCAGTACCTGATATTGTCAAGAATTTCCAAAAACTTTTCCGTTCCATCTTCAACTGGAGGCATCTGTGGATCACGCTGTAGCCATCCTATATCATCTGCAGAACCATGAACAGTTCTCCGTGCCCGTTCAATAAGCCTGAAAGTAACCATCATATGACTTCCACTCCAGGTAAAAAAAAACAGGATGATTTATTCACCTATGTCAAGTAGCCCTTACTGAGAGAGCTTATGCATCAATACTTAGCAGTCATGGACACCAAAAAAAAAAAAAAATTCAATTTTCTTTTAGATAGAAGTTTACTGGTAAGTAACAAATAAATTTTGCTTATTCTTACTCAAATTATCTTCAACTACGAAATTGTGACAAAGGAAAGGATCATGGGAACAGAAACAATAACAGGAACTAGAACGGAGAGCAAAGAACTAAACTTTAAATCATTTTCCCATGGTATCTCATACATTTTTGCTACATAATGTGAAAGACATTCATTAATACCACAGAATCAATGCATACCCTTTAAAAATTGAAATCCCATTCGGACCAGTATCATTTGATTCTACAAGCACATGAGTAGAATCCGTTACACCGTCAGGATTAGGCAAAGGGGAAGTTGCAGAAGTAGATGGTTCAGATGAAGTTGAATGAATATTACTCGAATACTCCTGAGATTGCTCAGTTTGTCCAGAAGAAAAAGTAACCAGTTCCTGGGCATGTCTAATTGAATCCTCAGAATCTCCCGAAGAATGTTCCACTGGAAAGATATTAAAAAAATAAAAAAATAAAAAAATCCTTAGAGAATATATACAACAGTGTTAATGCTTCTGTAGGTATTGTAATCATGAACAAGTCAAAAACAAGAACATTAAATTTGGGAGAAAACTTAGAGCTAAAATCTTTTTGAGGGAAAAGGGAAGATCTTCATTATTAGAAGAGTATATAAAAAGTCCCTCAGCTTCTATATGAGCTTCAAATACAAGGTCCAGTCATTACACAAACTATGAAAGTATAATATTCTCTATGGTAATGGTCACATCAATGATAATACCAAGCCAACCACACCAAACAAGCATATAAACACAATAATATAAACTGACTTGGAAGGAAGAAGAAAAGAGAATGGGAGAAACTCTTAGCTCACCAGAATAATCAGAGAAACAGCCAGTTATCAATGAGGTTGTTTGAGCAAGATAAGAAGCAGCTTCATTAAGAGCTGGTACAGAAGTGAATAGTTGAGGAAGGAGTCCATCATTTCTAATACTATCATTCTGTCCCTGACAAAAAGGAAGCAGTTTCAAAAGGTTGTATATGATCAAAACCTTAAAAATTATCATTTCAATTGAAAAATAATCCCTACAACAACAAAGAAGATGATTAAAGAAAGCAATGCTAGGGAAGTGTTTCTAAGTGCAATAAACAATATTCTTGGGCCATACAATACAGAAACCTAGTAAACATATCCATAGTAGGTACTCAAAACGATCTTATAGGTTCTACTTAAACATATATTTCTCTATCAAGTGCAATTCACTTTCTCTTTTGCCTAATATGTGACTAAAAGCTGTCCATTAACAGATACTCATACATCGTGTTCAAATCATAGCTAGAAAATCCATGCTCCTCCCATCACCTTCAGTTTCCACCATTTCCCTCTCATATGTTTGCCTTCAGTTTTCTCGAAATCTTACTTGCTTCTTCCTCTTCTCCCAAGCAACAGCTTCAATCAGTCAACCACTCCAGTAATACAACTGATAAGACCAGGTAACTGACCAATGCAACATTCACACGACCCTTTGAACTCAAAATTAGCAGCTTATTCTAAAATTAGCACTACACTTTCAACTAAAATCTCATAAAACCTATTAAGGAAACCCTAACCACAGTACCAGTAAACACATACCACCAATTGACGGCTGGATTCTCTACTCATAGGACTTCCAGCTTCAGCTTCCCTCATTGAAATCAGTTTTCTAACAAACAAAAGCAATAGTAAGCAAGTAAATTGGTAAAAACCGTCATGCTTCAAACGCAAATTTGGATACGCCAATATTTAAAGATCAAATTGCCTTTTCTTCCATTTCTACTTCCATTTAATAAAAAACGCGTATTGAACAATTTCAGTTAATAATCATAACATTCACAAATTCAATGGATATAGTTATCGATACGATAAAATTGGCAAGAACTGAAGATAGAATAAAAACCCTAAATTAGAAACTTTAGGTGAAATTCTTACCTAAAGTGTCTGATACAAAAAGAAGCCTGACAATAAACACGAAATTCGTTTTCAAAGAGAGACACGAACAGATTCCAATAATAAATTATTCTTTACTTCAATCGAAGGTAAACGATAGGCGAGGGAATTTGGCCCGGCCCAAGTCCTGGGACCGGACCAGGCCCAAGGAAGAAGGACCCGGGCCTGGGACCGATTCCAGGCCTGGACCCATTAATTTTTAAAACCCTCAACTTACACAAACCCCTGAAAAATATCAAAACCCCATTATAATATATGAAATACATAATAAATTTAAAGGTTAAAAATAATTTTACAGAAAAATTATAAAAAACAAATTTCAGGTCCATAGGATCGGTCCTAGGACTAGTTCTATGGGCCCATGACTGGACTTAGGACCGGTCCAAGCCCTAGAAAAACTCATGGGCCCAATACTGATCCTTCAAAATTTTGGGCCCGGTCCTTGAGGGCCTAGGCCCGGGACCGACTGGACGGGGCCTTGCCCACCTCTACTAACCAATATAGAAGCAAGCCTATGACGTTTTGCTTGACATGTGTTACGTATTATAGGACTATATAAATTAAATAAAATAATTATTTTTATTTTTATTTTTTTAAATATTTTATTACCAAGTTATTTTGTACCAATAAAAACACTCTCTCCGCCTAGGCACAATATTATTAAAATTTGCCCATTCATAAATAGTCCAACAATAAAGATGAATCAATAGAGCTGCAAATGATGTAACATATAGGTTGTTGCGAGTTAATTCCCCTTTAAAGATTAGTCGTGGTGCATTTATGTTGGCTTAAATACCTCAATTATTAAAAAAAATTATATTGATTTTACGTGGTGTGCTTATGCTCGCCCAAATACCTCAATTATTAAAAAAAAAGTTATATTGATTTTAAGTTGAAATTCACAGCATATATAAAATAAAAATATAATTTTAAAAATTTTAATTATATGACGTATATAGCTGCTCCTTGGCTAAGACAACAGTGTTCTTACTAATGTTGAAATGTAAACATAATTGACTGATTTTTTTTCTTTTTCTTTTTCCCTTATAAATTTCAGTAAAATGGATATACTTATTACAACTAGTCGGCTTTGGCTGCAGGGCAGGGTGCTTTAGCCTTTCTCGAATGCAGAAAAGTTGGAAGCTCAACTTAAAATGGAAATTCTTGAATATTATATCTTCGGAATTACTGAATCCAAATGGAGGCAGTAATTGAAGGTTGATAATGAAAAGCTGCTAACTGCAACATGATATTGATTAAAGGCTACGAAGAAGAATGCCTTCGAATGTAATGCCTGGCCCAAATGCTAAGCCAAGTCCCCATTCTTCCACTTTCACCTGTTTATTCTTCAACTCCTCCCTCATATAATCCATAACATAAAAAATAGTGCTGCTACTCACATTTCCATAGTCCATTAAAGCCTTCCTGCTATACTCCAGCTTCTCATTGTTTAATTTCAATTTGTTTTCCAGGCGGTTCAGAATTGCTGGTCCACCAGGATGGACTGCCCAAAACAGATCATTGAATTCCTTTAAACCAGCTTTTGCCATCAACTTCTTGCAGAACTCTTCTATATTATCTTCAATCTTCTGGGGTAGGTCCCTGCCAAGCTTAAAGTTTATCCCCTCTTCAGAAAGGCGCCCATCGATAACGTTTTGTGTCCCAGGCAGGAATTGTTGAACTGCGCAGTTTAATTCCATGAAAGGAGACTCTTTATCCGTTAACGGGTCGGCTCCAATGATGACAGCCGCAGCTCCATCACCAAAGAGAGCTGCCCCAACAAGATCATAAGGGCGAGCCTTATTTGGGGGACGAAAACCGAGTATGGTGGTTTCAGAAGTAGTTAACAAAACACGGCTTCCTGGATTATTTTCAGCTATATCTTTAGCAACACGGAGGCCAGTGACACCACCATAACAGCCTAGAAAGTACAGCATTACTCGGCCAACATCGCTTCTAAGGCCAAGCTTGCTAGCAAGGTAGACATCACCACCGGGAAGGCGAATCTCACTTGATGAAACATAGACAATATGAGTGATGTCTTCTACAGGCCTTTCCCATTCCTTTATGCAAGCAAGACTTGCTTCCAAGGCCATCTCTACAACAGCTGGGTTTGCTATATCAAGTCGTTGTTTAATAGTTGGTGAGCCCTCGGTCACAAGTTCAGGATATTTGTCAAGGATCTCCTTGGACATGACAGTGTATCTTGTCTTCACAGTAGTAGTTTTACCTAGCAAAGGAGAGAAAAAAAAAAAAACAGAATGAGTCCAGTTTCAATATGAATAGAAGCAAAAAAAATTAACTGACTTGTTGAGTATGAGTAGAAGTAAATTCACTTACACAAGCGTTCCAATTTCTCCTTGATGGATACATCATCACATTTGGTGTCCCGAGTGTAACCCTCAACCAAGCATTCCTGAGGAACAAGTTGACTAGGGAAGGCCTTCCCTATTGCAAGAACAGTTGCCTTCCCAGGTGTAGGAATCCGCCTGACTTGTGCAGAACACTGCCCAGAGGTGCCATTACTGTGAGTGTTTGACATCTTAAAGAGGGAAATTGGGTGAGGATGAGAAGCTAATGGAGGACAGGGGAATATAAATGGAAGCTTATTTGTGTTCTGGAGAGAGGTTGGTGTCAAGGAAGAGTAGCATGAAAACAGAAAAATGATAGTTTATCAAGGTTGGTAATATTTGGGTACTTGGGTTTAAAGTGTGAAGGCTTTTCGGAGATAAACAATCTTTTCCTTTCTTTTCACTACTCGGCAAACCTCCTTTCAAAGAATATGAGCAAATATACAATTTTTTCGGAAAACCAACGGCTCCAAGTGCATGCTTTTATCTCCCGAGATGAAGACAAAAATAAATAAATAATAAAATAAAATAAAAACCTCAAAGCAAAACCAAATATGTACAACTATCTTTGTAGAAGCACTGACCAGTCACGGCTAAGATTCATACCTCAGATTTTCTCTGTGCTTTCTTAATCTTCCCATTTTCAATGCAAATATTCAAACAATTGGGACAACAAGTCTAAATTTCTAATAGCTCTTCAAATAACTGGCAAAGTCTCCTCCCTGACACAAACCCTTATCGGAACATAATATGTGTACCTGAATCTAGCTTGACTTATTATTGTGGTCAGAGTATAAGTGTCAGGAATCAATCCTCCAACTTTTTTCGCTTCAACCAAAAGTTCTCTCATCTTGTTTACAAAGGAACCAAAGCTTTGCATATCTGTAGTTTCATACATTGTCCTCTTGTCAACATTAGGATAATTCGATCTTCTAACCTATACAATTAACCACATTGCGTACAACAATTGTCTTTAATGAACGCCACATAATTTAAGATACAAAAAATTTACACTCAAAATTTAGGATGGATATAGCCAGACATCAAAGTGTTCGTCATCGTGAAGATAGATCATAGATCCTTGAGCGTTTTGAGTTTAATTAGCCTATATTTGATAAAGAGAGAATAATCACGAGCAGTGTTCTTTAAGTGAAAGTCCATTTACCGGATCCAGGTTTCTACAGAGATTTAATAAGGGAAGAAGTTAAGCTCCATCAATTCTGCATTTCTCCACATTTAGTCCAGATTCTAGAACCTTAAATCTTTTATGTTTGCATAACCTGAGCATTCACACAGTTAATCTAAATTTTGTAAGGATTTTCTTCGAAAATGGTCTCTCCAACATCAAACATGGTTCTTCTAAGTAAATTTCGAATATTACGAAAAAAATGATATAGAGGACTTTATAACTGTTCTTTGGGAATATTTACCAACACCCCTAACGTTTGGCCTTAATAAAAATATTTTGTGAGATCTAATTATGTAGTTAAATTTTAATTGGTTTTGGGTTAAATGTGGATGGGAGATTTCGGTTGAATGGGTTCGAGTTAGATGGAGGCAAGCATGGCAAGAGGAGCGGGAGGATTTGCATGATGTTGAAAAAGGGTGCAACTGCAACGTAGTGGGGCTGGCCAGCTGGGACGGGATTGTCGTGGGTACGCAAGTCGGGTGGCTATGTGGGTGAGAGGTGGTGTTAGAAGATGGGTTCTCTTTTCTTTTCTTTTTTTTAATAAATTTTAATATCCTTAAAGTATTGTAAGAAATAAGGTTCAAAAAAGTATATAAAGAAAGGAGTGGAAAGTTATATCCAAAATTAGAGGGCTTAAATTATATCACTTAGGTCTTAGGCAAACCTGAAAAGGTTTAAGGTAATATTCACAGTATTTTAACGCCATCATAATAAACAGCAGAAGTTAAGATAATGTTTGGTTAGTGAGAAAAGAAAGGACAAAAAAAGGAGAAAATTGAAGAGGTACACCTGAGAGAGAACTGAGAAACGAGAGGAAACTGAGTTAGGCTGCTCCAAGTACATAGCAAGGTTTGGCAAAGAACCCTCTGTGCTCACTTCTTTCAACAACATCGAATAAGCCTCAATTCCTTCGGCATACAATCTAAATTTACAGAATACACTGCGTTGCTGGAGACAATACGATAAGATATATGCCAATTACATCCTACTTGAGTGTTGAGTCTAATAAGATATATGCCTAACTCATCTAACTCAATAGTTTAGTGTAAAAGAGTAGTATACAGACACCACCACACAAAGTAAATACACCTCAAACTTCAAAATGACCATGGGTATTATTTTCTTATAAGTGTGGAAAAAAAGGAAATAAGTGTGCCATCTGTATATGTGCCCAAACATACACAAAGACAGGAAGAGGGAGAGAAATATACACAAATTTTATGACATAAATGGAAGCATATTTTAGTAGAGAGCACTCCAAATACCTTGTATCAGATCTCAGGTAACACCTCTACAGGAAAGAACTGACCAGAAACCTGTAGATGATACGCAACAGGGGAGAGCCGTTCTTTCGGTAGTAAGGTATCAATACAAATAAAAACAAACAAAAACTCTTTGACTAAACTATAAATAAGAAAAGTTAAAAGCTACTTAGAGTTATAGCTCCTAAGCGCTATGAAAAGAGGAATTAGTAAAACTACAACATATTTTACACTATCAACCACCCCTAGACATTGTAAAATGATGTTCCACCTCAAACTTCAAGAGGGCTGCCGGTAATAGTATCTGAGAAGTGTAAAAACAAAAGGGCATCAGTGTGCCATTTATATATGCGCCCATACACACACACACACACACACACACATATATATATAGAGAGAGAAAGAGAGAGAGAGAGATACACAAAAATCTTTATGGCATAAATAGAAGCATATTTTCGTAGAAGCCGCTCCACACTGTACCACTGCGATCGATCAGATCCATCTTGATAACCAATTCTTGGCATGTGGATTGAAGCTTTTGGAAATTGACAAAGAAACATATAGTTATATAAGAGTAATAGAAAGCTTCTAAACAGATATTTATAAAATATTGCATTAAAAGCAGTCATATAATTACTCAAATGACATCTAGTGAAAATCTGTCACTGAAATTTAGTATTAAGACAATATAAAAAGGAAGGCTATAGTTGGTTATTAAAACATGAAGAAACTAGACCATCTAATCTATCATCAAGATAAATAAAAACATATTCAATTCAAATCAGACTAAAACAGGTGCATAATGACTAACCAGAATTTTGAGCTGCTGAGAATGCCGCCTTTGATAAACAACATTCCAGGTCAGGAATAGATATATCACTCCGAGGGACTTTACGCCTAGGATTATATGTTTGTACAACAGCCAAAGCCACCCACTGAGGAGCACTATTCGTACTACCTTCATCACAACCCTCTAGACATAGCAACAAAATGGTTGATATTTAGTGATAAAATGGTTAGGACAGCAAGAAATATACTATTTCCAAATACCAGAATAAAAAAAGTGCATAATGTCAGAATACAAATTTTCAATTTCAGCTCATCAAAAATAATTAGAGCAAATGTCTCATATGAGTTGAAGTACTCATATGCTTCAAATGAAGCTTAGCTTCTCCTAAAGAGACTCAAGAAAATCACTCTCAGTGATTACATTTAACAGCAGGAAGCCGGTTAGTTTTAAGCATTTCTCAAACAAAATCCCTAGAATTATAACAGACCAACCAAAGTATCTTCATCCAATCAAGTTCCCTTATTCTTATTTTTCCAACATCAAATACAATTTTTTGTACACAACATTTTCAGTTCAATATCTGATTTAGGAATTTAATTTTTCAGTAGCTAGAATATGCAGAAGGGATGAAAACAAGAGATATCCTAAAAGAAACTTGTAAATTTCAGTGACATTTGACTTAGTTTGAGATGACATTGACTAGCCAGGACAATCAATTTCAGCAAGAGTTCCAAACTGACCACCCTTGTTACCGGAGAAGTATTAATTCCCTTAATAACTGCTCTATGATATACATAAAGCAAACAAAAACAAGTAGGAGAAATAATATACATAAGCAAACAAAACCAATTAGCAAAACCATCCTCAAAACAAACATAAGCAGTCATGGTACAGGTGATGGTTATGAGTGATAAAGATATGATAATGAACAGAGAAGATAAACAAATAGAACAATTCATAAGTCTGTCTTATTGTGCACTAGAAAGCAATTTATCTGCAAACAATACATAACACATGATAAGAAAGAACAGGACAAATAGCAGACCATTGATTCTTATAAGATGGAGATCACCAAGATGAAGGTCCCCAAATTCAGAAGCCCTCTGATATGCATCAGCAACGTTTGTAGAAAGTTTTACCAAAGCATCAAACATCCCTCCATTCCCCCAGTTTCCAGAGTTATCAACACAACTGCAAAATCAATGTACAAAGAATTCATGACAATGACACCAAATTTGGTATTTGGCAGTTTCAACGGAAAAACAACTCACAGTTCATAGGGTTGAGCCTAGTGATAAAATTTCAACTTCAAATCAGTTTTGCAGATTATCTAAGAGGATTTTCCTCCTACAGCTTCTGAGATACAAATTAAATTAAAATTTAACAGGCTTTATATAATCATGCACAAAACTTCAGTAACACGACTAATAAGATATTTAAAGATACAATTATACCATTCAAAGTAGAGAAAGAATGCACAAGCAGTGCTAGTTTTTCCACAAATAGAATATAAGACAGTAAGATATACATTCCACTAAACTTCTTAGCAGCACAAGAAAAACCACCATTCTCACTAGAAGAATTAACTAATAATAACAATAAGAACCAGAATAACCTGAATATAACAGCAGGCTCAGATGGACAAATTTTTGAAGGATCCGTACAATCTCCATAAACAAAATGAACAGAGCCTGAACGTGCAAGTGTATCACCATCTGCTGGGGATACAGGATCTTTAACAGACAATGAATGGTATCCACAGGCCTCCCATTTAGCCAACTTCTTCTCTTCGATCTTCTTTCTCACAGCTTCAAGTTTCAAATCCTTATCATCAGGTAAGTTCCTTCTACCTCCCAACTCCACAAGAGAATTACTGCTTATTTGTGATGCCTGTTTCAACTTTTCAACCCATGAGAGATATGAAGCCTCATCAAGACCAGGATCAAAATG